TACAGCTCGTTCATAGAGTCTATTGCACAAGTGTTCATATTAACTTTGACCTCTGGCGTGAAATTATATTTTGTTGTCTTTTTGTCAAATGGATCAACATTATCATGTGACATTTTAGAGTTTGATTCTAAAGACTTTGTTAATTTGCGAATTTTTCTAAGCTTGCAATCTAGTTCATACATATACTGATTTGAGTCGGTGCTTTCCTGCTCCAGATTATCCTCCGATGTTTGATCCAAGAGCCTGCTATTTAAGTCAAACAATGTTTTCTGTTTCTGTGTGACCGCATCATCAAGAGCTTTCACTCCGCAAACTATTCTGTATTGGTGTTAGATTTTAACTGTCAAATTTTAACAGTAACTTAGTAACAGCTCCATTGTGTCAAGCACGAATTGACTTCAACTTAGACGATTTTTCAAAAATAAATTTTCACAACTCTACAATTTCATACCAGAAATATATAAAAAAAACAAAAAAAAAAAACAGAGCTTATTTCAATAGATATAAACAAGTCACCAAAAATTCATGAAAACTGTTCAAAGTGTTTTTGAGTAATTGTCCGGAAAATCACCCCTTTTTTAGGAATATAGTCCCAATACATGTACTCCCAAACGTAAAAACACAAATTTTTTTTAAATCGAAAGGAAACTTAAATATGTCAATATACATGATATATATAAGCAATTCACCAAAGTTTCATGAAAATTGCTCAAACCTTTTATGAGTTATGGTCACAGAAAACTAGAAAATCCCCCAACTTGGAAATGTATAATCTAAAATTCATAAAATCGAAAGGGAGCACATGTCAATAGATATAAACAATTCACCAAAGTTTCATGAACTTTGGTGAAAAAGTTTGTGAGTTAATGTCCAGAGTGTTGAAGAAAAACGGACAGATGGACTGGCAACGGTATACAATACATCCCGTCTTTAAAGACCGGTGTGTAAAAATAAGGAGACAAGCTTGTATTATCATTTGTAAACCATTCTGAAGCACCTGAGGTCGCCCCCAATTTTTGGTGGGGTTCCTGTTGCTCAGTCTTTAGTTTTCTATGTAATGTTTTACAGATTTTTCTTGGTTTTAGCCATGGGTTGTCAGTTACTCTTGGTCACATCTACCTCTTTTATTATTAATTACAAATTTAATGATTATTACCAGAAATGCAAAACTAGAGGCTCTCAAGAGCCTGTGTCGCTCACCTGTATTTACTGATGCTTTGGAAATCATGTAAAATAAGGTTAAAATCATAATTAATAGTATTAGATATTAGATATTATAATGATATCTAAGATAATAACAAATAAAATGCTCCGCAGGGCGCAGCTTGATACGACCGCAGAGGTCGAACCCTGAACAGTTGGGGCAAGTATGGACACAACATTCAAGCTTGATACAGCTCTGAATTTGGATTGTGATTAAATATTTGACACAGCATAGGTTTCTGACACAGAATGAATGTGGTCTAAGAACTTAAAAATTTTAAATTGGACATTCACCTATTATGGTCCAATATCCAAAATCTAAATACATGGTTAGATTCAGCATATCAAAGAACCCCAAGAATTCAATTTTTGATGAAATCAAACAAAGTTTAATTTTGGACCCTTTTGACCTCAATGTGGACAAAGTTGATAACGGGACCCAAAAATCAAAAATCTAAATACATGGTTAGATTCAGCATATCAAAGAATCCCATATATTCAATTTTTGTTGAAATCAAACAAAGTTTAATTTTGGACCCCGATTTGGACCAACTTGAAAACTGGGCCCATAATCAAAAATCTAAATACATGTTTAGATTCAGCATATCAAAGAACCCTAAGAATTCAATTTTTGTTAAAATCAAACCAAGTTTAATTTTGGACCCTTTGGACCTTAATGTAGACCAATTTGAAAACGGAACCAAAAATTAAGAATCTAAATACACGGTTAGATTCGGCATATCAAAGAATCCCAATAATTCAATTTTTGATGAAATCAAACAAAGTTTAATTTTGGACCTCAATGTGGACCAATTTAAAAACGGGGCCCAAAATCAAAAAAAAATTAATACACGGTTAGATTCAGCATATTAAAGAACCCCAAGAATTCAAGAATAAAACCCCATTGAAATTGGTCAAGAAATAAGCAATTTATACGAAGTATCTTCTTTTGCACAATACTGTGCAATTGAATATTTCTTACTATTGCGCAATACTGTACAATTGACAATTTCTTGCTATTGCGCAATATTGTGCTATTGGATATTTCTTGCTATTGCGCAATACTGTGCAATTGAAGATTTCTTGCTATTGCGCAATACTGTGCAATTGAAGATTTCTTGCTATTGTGCAATACTGTGCAATTGAAAATTTCTTGCTATTGGACAATACTTATTATATAATAATTTACACATCCTGTTTGGTGTGTATCTCCTACCATATCATTAATATTTGCTTTTAAATATAAATCAGAAAAAACCAACTTAAAATGGAAAATTTTAAAAGAAAAAAAAAAGGAAAAAAAAAAATCCCCCCCCCCAAATTTTTGAACCCCCTTATGATTCATCACCCCCAAACTCAATCCCAGCCTTCCCTTTGTGGTATGGTACCTTGCAGTACAATTTCAGAGAGATCCATACACTTGAACACAAGTTATTGTCTGGAAACTAGAAAAATGTGTTTTTTGGCCCCTTTTTGGCCCCCAATTCCTAAACTTTTAGGGCAATTACCCCCAAACTCAAACCCAGCTTTCCCTTTGTGATATGGAACCTTGTAGTACAATTTCAGAAAGATCCATACACTTACACACAAGTTATTGTCCTGAAACTAGAAAAATGCTTGTTTTTTGCCCCTTTTTGGCCCCTAATTCCTAAAATATTGAGGCAATTACCCCCATCATCAATCCCAGCCTTCCCTTTGTGGTATGGTACCTTGCAGTACAATTTCAGAGAGATCCATACATCTGAACACAAGTTATTGTCTGGAAACTATAAAAATGCTTATTTTTGGCCCCTTTTTGGCCCCCAATTCCTAAATGTTTTGGGCAATTACCCCCAAACTCAATTTCAGCTTTCCCTTTGTGATATGGAACCTTGTAGTACAATTTCAGAAATATCCAAACACTTACACACAAGTTATTGTCATGAAACTAGAAAAATGCTTGTTTTTTGCCCCTTTTTTGGCCCCTAATTCCTGAAATTTTGAGGCAATTACCCCCAAAATCAATTCCAGCCTTCCCTTTGTGATATGGAACCTTGTGGTACAATGTCAGAGAGATCCATACACTTACACACAAGTAATTGTCTGGAAGTTACATAAATGCTTATTTTTGGCCCCTTTTTGGCCCCTAATTCCTTAACTGTTGGTACCATAACCCCCAAAATCAATCCCAACCTTCCTTTTGTGGTATTGAACCTTATGGTAAAATTTCATAGAGATCCATTCACTTAAACTAAAGTAAGAGTGCGAAAACTAATGTGTCTTCGGACGACGAGGACGACGACGACGACAACGACGCAAACGTCATACCAATATACGACCGCAAAATTTTTGCGGTCGTATAGAAACTACAAAATTTTTATAAAATTACTAACTCAGGGGCAGCAACACAACAACGAGTTGTCGGATTCGTCTGAAAATTTCAGGGCAGATAAATCTAAATCTGATGAACATTTTTGCCACCTGTCAGATTTGCTCTAAATGCTTTAGTTTCAGAGATATAAACCAAAAACTGCATTTTACCCCTATGTTCTATTTTTAACCAAGTCGGCCATGATGGTTGGAAGGCGGGGTCATCGGACAAATTTTTTAAACTATATACCCTAATAATGATTATGGCTAAGTATGGTTAAATTTGTCTCCGTAGTTTCAGAGAAGAAGATTTTTGTAAAAGATTACAAAAATTTACAAAAAATTGTTAAAAATTGACTATTAAGGGCAATAACTCCTAAAGGGGTAGACTGACAATTTTGGTCATGACAACTTATTTGTAGATCTTACTTTGCTGAACATTATTGCTGTTTACAGTTTATCTCTATCTATAATAATATTCAAGATAATAACCAAAAACTGCAAAATTTCCTTAAAATTACAAATTCAGGGGCAGCAACCCAACAACAGGTTGTCAGATTTGTCTGAATATTTCAGGGCAGATAGATCTTGACCTGATAATCAGTTAAACCCTGTGTCAGATTTACTCAAAATGCTTTGGGTTACGGTTTCAGAGATATAAGCCAAAATCTACATTTTACCCCTATGTTCTATTTTTAGCCATGGTGGCCATCTTGGTTGGTTGGCAGGGTCATCGGACACATTTTTTAAACTAGATACCCTAATGATGATTGTGGCCAAGTTTGGCTTAAATTTGGCCCAGTGGTTTCAGAGGAGAAGATTTTTGTAAAAAGCTAACAACAACGGACGACGACGCCGACGACGACGACAACGGACGACAGACGCCAAGTGATGAGAAAAGCTCATTTGGCCCTTCAGGCCAGGTGAGCTAAAAATGGGTAAAACTCATCATATGTGGGCTATAACTTTTATAAGCAGTAAACTGGCGATTTTGACCATGTAAACTTATTTGTTGACCTTGTCTTGCTGATAATTTTTGCAGTTTTTGACACATTTCAGACAGATGAAAAATGGTGAAAAAAGTTCAAACTTTTCCAGATGACCAAATGATACCAAATTGTATTCAAATTAATACTGATCCTCTAACACCTGCATTAAACATGTTAAAACAATTACATAAGTTTTACTATATTTGTTCTGCGCATTAAAAAGGTGTAATAGGACTTTTTTAAAAGTCCTCAAATACCATTGAATCCAACAGGCATGATAGTATGATTAACAACACATTATAACAAAGATGACAACTACAAAAAGCCTCAAATAATGCATTCATACAGTAAAGGGACAAGATGAATGCCGATTAGGAATATGCTCCTCAATATCTCACAATAGACATGATAGAACTTATCCAATAACAATCTGTAAGTACTCCTGTCTGAAATACTTACATAACTGTGTTAATACCACTAAGCTGTTGAAATATTTGTAAAAAACATCCTAAAATAAGAGCTCTTCTCACTGATGGTGTCTTAACCACTCTCACTATAATGTATTCTTCAGCTGAAAAGCAAATGAATAAACAAATTCAAAAACAGTAAAAAATAAAGAAAATGTATAATACATTAAGGTCATTCTAAATAAGATAACAAAATGTACAGAATTATCAAGTAATGAAAAAACCTTAGTGAGGGCGCTCACATACCCCACGTCCCCACATTGTCATTGGAGGAATAAAATAAGTGTAAGAAAAAAAAATTGAATCATAATTTCCTGTCAATATGCACATCTACATAGTATGTCCTTATTATCTACACAGTTTCATGAAATTCTGTGGTTTGAGAGGAGTTGCGATGACAAAAAGTTGCAGTAGTATATTGAGCAAATAAGTTCAAAGGGGCGTAACTCCTGGGAAAAAAATTGAATCGTAACTACCTGTTGATATGCACATCTACGTAGTATGTCCTTATATATTATATGAAAAGGTTTCATGAAATTCTGTTGTGTGGTTTGAGAGGAGTTGCGATGACAAACTGTTGCAGTAGTACATTAAAGTATATAAGTTCAAAGGGGCATAACTCCTAGAAAAAGAATTGAATCGTAATTTCCTGTCAATATGCACAACTACATAGTGTGTCCTTATTATCTAAAAAGGTTTTGTGAAATTCTGTTGTGTGGTTTGAGAGGAGTTGCGATGACAAGAAACAGGATTGACGGACTGGCGGACTGACGGACGGACGGACAGACGGACGGACAGACGGACGGACGGGTCAAAAACATTATACCCTCCGCAACTTGTTGTGTGGGGTATAATAACCAAATAGGAGTTGAGTAAATGTCTTAACCTGCTGCAGTATTTAATTTTTTAAAGGTTTTGGAATTTCAAACTGTGATAAAATCACTGGTAAAAATTAAATCTATAAGCTGCAAATGTTCATGTACCTGAAATAAATTCACATTCAGGTTGCACTTCTGTAAATATAGACAATGTAATTTCCCATAGGAACTCCCTTGTACTACCCCTTCCTTCACTGTGGGTCTTCCTCAGATTTCAATTTTCATCGCTACCATGTGTTTTTATACTGGTAACGTAATATTCCCAAGTTATGTCTCTAGGAAATGAAACATAGAGATCATAGCTGGGAACCAGTACGTAAACAAAACAAATTAAAGAACCTTAGTGAGCGCGCTCACATACCCCACGTCCCCACATTGTCATTGGAGAAATAAAATAAGTGTAAGAATTAAAAATTGTATCAGAAAAAAAAATTGAATCATAATTTCCTGTCAATATGCACATCTTCATAGTATGTCCTTATTATCTACACAGTTTCATGAAATTCTGTTGTGTGGTTTGAGAGGAGTTGCGATGACAAAAGGTTGCAGTAGTATATTGGGCAAATAAGTTCAAAGGGGCCTAACTCCTGGAAAAAAAATTGAATCGTAATTTCCTGTCGATATGCACATCTACGTATTATGTCTTATTATCTGAAAAGGTTTCATGAAATTCTGTTGTGTGGTTTAAGAGGAGTTGCGATGACAAATGGTTGCAGTAGTATATTGGGCAAATAAGTTCAAAGGGGCGTAACTCCTGGGAAAAAAATTTAATCGTAATTTCCTGTCGATATGCACATCTACGTAGTATGTCCTTATTATCTGAAAAGGTTTCATGAAATTCTGTTGTGTGGTTTGAGAGGAGTTGCGATGACAAACTGTTGCAGTAGTACATTAAAGTAAATAAGTTCAAAGGGGTGTAACTCCTAGAAAGAGAATTGAATCGTAATTTCCTGTCGATATGCACAACTACATAGTATGTCCTTATTATCTAAAAGGTTTCGTGAAATTCTGTTGTGTGGTTTGAGAGGAGTTGCGATGACAAGAAACAGGACTGACGGACTGACGGACTGACGGACGGACAGACGGACAGACGGACAGGTCAAAATCGTTGCGTGGGGTATAAATATCTATGAATATTATATATCTCTCCAAAAGAGGCGTGGCTTGAGAAACAGCTGTATTTCCAACATTCAAGATTATATAAAGTATCCAATCCTGCCTCTGTCTCCAGTCCACATCTTACTGTATGCCTATTTGTCAATAAAAGTTCACAATTTCTGCCTCAAATGGTCAGTTTAGAAATCTTGTCACAACAATATCATCTCTAACCATATATCTACATAATTTAGGTAATATATGAACTAGAAATGTTTAAACAAAGCCAATTTGCAAAAGTTGTATGTACGAAGTTACCAGTCTGATGTATGAATTCACTAAAAGTTTTATAGAACTGACTGCCAATGTCTGTTTTTCCATAAATTCCAAGCACAGTTATTGTTTTCTATACAAAAAACCTTTAAAATAATAAAATCATAGCATTTACAGGTTAAATTACAGTTTTATGACCCAGGGGGTAGGCATTTTTCTTTGTTTTTTGCCACTGGGGCCTCAAATTTGCCAAAATATTCTGCTGTTTCTGTGAATATGGAATATTTAGTACAAATCTAGGATAGAACACACTATTGTTAGTTCTATTTAGGTATTTTTGTATTTCTAGCTTGTATTTTTTTTTGACGCGGTCACAAAAAAGCAAATTCAGGTGTTACGGCTTACTTTTGGGTTATCGACAGGACAAAAACACCCCAACATCAATATTCATCAAGAATCTATGAGTTTCAATGACTGCGAAGAGTAAATATAAGCACTTCTAAACAATTTAAATTACAAATATGCATATATTATGAATTTAATTTGCATTCAGGGCTTTAAGTAAACTATGCATACTGTAAACTGTGAATTTATGCTGAGTCATCATAATAATTAAGGCCCAGGATTTTCTCAATCTTCATGAAATATTTATAAAACTTTATATCTGTGTTAATTTCATTAAAATCTCTGAGATAAACCAGATTTGGTGAAATTTTATATGTTCTCTTTTTTCACCCAATATCGGTTGCACTTCTGTAAATATAGACAATGTAATTTCCCAAAGGAACTCCCTTTGTGGCTAAAACTGTGCCACTTTTACTATGAAGTTTCGTAAAAAATTATATCCTAGAACGGAATGCACTACTTTTTTATTCAAAAGTAAAAACATAGGGCTGTGCAGCATATTTTCAACATTTATATGCCCCGAACTTCTAAGAGTTTAAGATTACACTAAAAATCTGTACTACCCATACCTTCAATGTGGGTCTTCCTCAGATTTCAATTTTCACTGCTACCATGTGTTTTTATACTGGTAACATTCTCAAGTTATGTCTATATGAGATGAAACATAGAGATCATAGCTGGGAACCAGTACGTAAACAAAACAAAATATCTATGAATATTATATATCTCCCCAAAAGAGACATGGCTTTGGAAAACAGCTGTATTTACAAAGTGAAACCTTCAGAAAAATTTTAATCTATCAAGTTTAAGTATTTCTGAGCTACCCAAACTTTTATTACAACTCAAAATGAGGCAGAGGCTATCGATATGATATTCAACAAGCAGACATTTCACCTCCCAACCAAATTCCACATTCTAAATACTGTGTAGACTTTTCATGGATATATACCACTGGAACTAGAAAACTGACATGTCAGCAAGGACCCCAAGATACAGATGCATACAAAGCAAATGTTAATAGGTTGTCAATTTCATAAATTTTGACACCAGCAAATAATTCAGGATGTGTTTTATTAAAATCCAAGCACTATGTATTTTGGTGGGCATTTTTTAGAAAGTGGGCAACCAATAATTTTGACACAGATTCATGCCTGTATCAGTAAGGAATATGGCAGTAACATGAGTTGTTTTTCACTTGTTTCGTTGATTGATAGCATTCGCAGACCTGGCAACTTTCACGATTTATGGGGGATTTCCCCCCATGAGAGGTATTGACCTGAATTTTGAAACAACTCAAAACAGGCATTCAAATGTGTTAAAAGTGTATTTAAGCATATACATACTCATTCAAACAATATAGTAGTAGATTTAAAACATTTATGACAATATAAGAGGAGCATTAGGTCCCATTGTTCATAAAATCCCCAATGGAGATTTTGAAAAGTTGGCAGATATGCATTTGATTTTGTCAGTTTTTAAGGACTTCCCTTTTTGAATTTGCTTTGGAGTTCAGTATTTTTGTTATACTTTTTTGTAATAGCAAATGATACTTTTCTTATTTAAATCCTAGCAAAATATAGTTTTAACACAATTATGACTTGATGAAACAATTTGGAATGCATATTATGTCTATATTATATAAAGCAATTTTTGAATACATCCTACCACAAGAAGATTCTTCTCAAAATTTGTAATTTTTTAATAAGTTTTTCCCATGATTTTAATTTGTCAATCACTTTGAAATAACTTAAAACACCTATAAATCAGTTTTTAATCAAATCAAAATGAGGTCAAGGTCAGATGAAACCTGCCAGACTGACATGTACCCATTAGTCATTCCATACACCAAATATAGTTGACATATTGCCTAAAGTACTTGAAAACCTTCTGGTAAAATTTCTTAGAGATCCATTCACTTAAACTAAAGTTATTGTCCGGAAACCGAATGTGTCTTTGGACGACAACACCATAGCATTATAAGACGCAATAAATTTTTCGCTGTTGTATAAAAAATGCATTTTACCCCTTTGAAGAAATTTATAACAAGAGTGCACACGCTGAAATGTCTCGCCTTCTTTACTAACCATTGATATTATGTTGATAATCCTAAATGAAAGCTTTACTACAACTATTACATAAACTTAACATGATCCAAGAAAATGAAGTCAAGGTCATATAAACCAAACGAGAAATACATGTACACCTTACAATCATTCAATACGCTAAATATAGTTGACCTATTGCTTATAGTTTCTAAGAAACAGACTTAACCAAGAAAACTAAACATTGACCAATGAATCGTGAAAATGAGGTCAAGGTCAGATGAACCATGCCAGGCAGACATGAACAACTTACAATCCTTCCATACAACAAATATAGTTGACCTATTGCTTATAGTTTAAGAAAAACAGACCAATACACATAAACTTAACACTGAGCAATGAACCGTAAAA